AAACCCTTCTTGCTAAAGATACTCCATACGCACTTGTGATTGTCAGAAGTGCTATAATTAGTTGTGATCTTAGTCAACAACTGAAAGCTTTGATCTTAATCCTTCATTAATGAGGCAGTTGCGTATGTGGAATTCAGAGGCACTGAATGCTACGTTGTAGTTGGGTAATGCCCTCATTTCAAATGGTTTCCCATTTTATATGCAACAGCCGATGTCATTCAGAACAGGGGCATCTACTAATCCTTTCACCTCATAGGAGGTTGGTGAGCGACTGTTCTTTCTTTCACTGGAGAAGCTGATATGGATTATTTATTTTTGTGCGAAATAGTAAAACAGGATCTGGGGTCATATTGCTGAATTTTTCTTGCCTTTTTTTTTTCCCTGGTCTTCTGATGTGTAAGGATTGTTGTTAAATAGCAAAACGTCTAGAGCATAATTTGGCTGTATTACTGAACCTGTGTCTCCAGGAAGGTTAGGATTTTGAAGTCTAATAAAAATTTTTAAAAAATCTGTTTGGGAATTGACAGGTAAAATCTGTGCAAGTGTGAAGAAAATGTCATCTGATACCGCATTTCTTCCACACCTGTCAACACACACTTTTTGATCAGTCTTCATGCAGTAGTAGCATGAGTTAAGCAATGCACAGTAAATGAAACCTCCTTCTAAGAGCAGATGTGGTCAAAAAATGAGATCAGGCTGCAGATTTTTTAGGAATCCTTACATGTAACTGATGTCTGACCAAATGTTCCCAATTTACCATGAGAAAACATGCAATACATCTCTAGAAACAAAGTTCCCAAATGTATTGGAGTGCAAAGGATAGGTTTTGTGCCAAAAACCATGAAGAAATTTTAAAATGTTTCTGCTTTATGCAGAAGAGAGGAGGCTCAGTATTTTTCTAACTCACCTTTTTTTCTTGGAGGGGAGGGTAGGATGTCGGTTATTGTTATGTTGGAATCACAAGGGTTTTTTAACATACTATTGATAATTATGATTTTTTTTAATGATGAGGAGGTTGTCACATAATCATTTGCAGACTTTGTAAGTACAGGGAGTGAAATCTTGTAGGGTTATTTGGTTTTAAGCAGACTAGTTATTTTTCGTCAGAGAAACATTTCTGATTTCAGATTACATGAATAACTAACCACTCATAAAAAGACTGCTTCTGAATCAAAATTACAACAGAAAACAAAAATGTACATGACCATTTCATCTCACTTTTTAGTATTTTCCTAAATATACGCACTGAACTTCTTTTTAATGAAAATTATCCCTGTTTTTTGAGAGTTTAAACAGTGTGTCTGTTTACAGAGTGAGATGTGGTCAGTGTCGGTAGGTTGGCTGGTCTCTGCGGCTATCAGCAGACGAATAAACATTCCAGGAGCAGTAGGCAGGCTGAGTCCTTATGGCTGGCTTTGCACAAGCTCGGCCTGCTCTGACGTGTGCTGGGCATGGATCGGTGCCAGGAGCAAGCAGGGAGGGATAAAACACCCGTTTTACCCCTTGCTTTCACGCCTGTTTGCTGGCCAGGTTTCAGAAGGAGATGCTGAAGCAAGATGTTTTCAAGGATGCTTTTGGGTGAATCAACATATCTTTGCAAAAGTTGTTCAAATACTTAAGTGCACTTACTACTGAAAGTGGGTGGCTTATTTCTGGTCTGGATTTCCAGCCTTATTTCTGCCTACCTTTGGTTTCCAACCATCAGACCTCAGTTGCTTCTTTCTGATAAAGCTGTCAGAAATCTTTTCTCAGTGGAGATTTTCTAAATCAAATTAGTAGTCCACTCCCTGGTGGATGAGTGTAACTGATGGAGCTTCTTACCGTGAGACAGGTCCCCCAAGCTCCCATCAGCTCACATGCCCATTTCCAAGCCCTCTTTCTTTTTGGGAGCGCGTAGTGGAGAGCCCCGTATGGCGTTACACCAGCCCTTTTTTGTACAAGGTCAGGGCTAGCAGCTCTCTCCTCCTACGCAGTATTACTCTTCGTTAGCATTACCCTCTTTAGTGTTAGCTTGAGAGAGCAGGCTGCGGTCGGACATCAATGTACTGCCCGCATCCTTTCTCGTGCTCCTGGGCACAGCCTGGCTGTCTCAGGCATCCAGGTCTGTGGTGTTTAATGCCTAGTTTTTGTTTGGTTTGGTTTTTGCACAGCTTTTGGAGGGGGCTGGGTGCTCTGACATCCTTGGCACCAGGCACTGAAATCAGGTTTTCCAGTTCTCAGCACCCGCTACCCTCACCTGTTCAGAAACACAGCAGCAAACATCCTGGTGGGAATTAAGTATATTGTCCGAAAATCTGGGCCATAAAGGCTGCGCGTGTGAGATGGGAGCTTTTGAAAATCAGACCTTGAATGTACAGGTGGCTTAACTGATCTCGGTGCAAATGCTGGTGACCTTTTTTCCTATTCAATAAATTAAAGGTTAAATTTGCGTAATTTATTGGGCAGTTATTTAGATCGTCACTTCTTTCCACTCACATTTGTACAGCCTTAAGTTCAATTTAAAAAAAAAAAAAAAAATCTATAAAAGATGGAGAAGCATGACAAATGCGCTAGAGCTCTCCCCCATTTGATCTTCCCGTGCTGTGTCCTGCAGAGGCAGCGATGGAGGGTGTAGGCAGAGGGGAATCCTCTTCACACAAAGCCCGATTGAACTGTGGAATGCATTGCCACGCCATATTGTGAATGTTAAATCTCATGCAAATTTTTGGGGAAAAAAAAATAAAATTAAGAGTCATGGAAGGAAAATCTAGCAAGGTTAGTTAAACATTGTGAAAGACTATCCTCTGCTCTTGCCTGTGGGTGTTTGGTGAACCCCTGTCAGGAAACAGGAGCCTGGAAGGGATGGCCTTTGCTCGGTCTGATGCGCTTAAATTTCTTCCTGCTTTGAAACAGAATTTTCGTTTCATTTTCTAAATGGAATTAAAATGTACTATACTTAACTGCAGCTTCAGGAAAGATAAAGATTAAATCAATTTGGTGCTTGAGAGATTAAAAGGCAAAAGTATTTAGAAATACTTCTGAGCATTACAGAAAGCTTGGTCCAAGCTTTGGGTGATTTGTTTTTGGAATTTGCTTACGTTGGCTGTAGCCTTTCTGTCAGGCAGCACTGCAACCCAGCACAAACCATGTTATCATTGAAGATGGGTTGTTATTGTTAAGAGTTTAAAAAGAAAGAAAATTTTTATGCTTTTATAACAGTATTAGAGACTAAATTGTCTGAAGTTGTAGGAGTAACTACTGAAAATATTAAGAGTTGCATTCTATTTTTGTGATTTTTGTGGCTTGTCAGGAAGCTTACTGGTTCCTGTCTGATTGTTACAGTACTTCAGTAACAAAGTTTGCAATTTTACAAAATGTAAACTTGTAATTAAATATTTATGAAACGAATCTAAAAATGGTGGGAGGAGTAATAATTTGCACTGCCTGTGACTTCTCAGTTGGATTTTTTTGTTGGTTGCTTGTAGATTTTTTTGTTTTGTTTTGAGACAAGCAAGGCCTTTCCTTTGATCCAGTGAGTAAATTAGAAAATCCGTTGTGTAATTTATACCAACAGCAGTGAAAACCATTCATGCCTATTGCAGAGAATATGTAGAGATATCTCAAATGTAGCCAAATCCAAAGCCAAAGGCTTTCTGTTCATTTTTGGGGGGTTTGTTTGTTTTGCTTTTGGGGTTATACATCTACAGGAAAATTGGAGGTAAAGCTTGGATTTTGGTTTAAGTTTTTCTTAAAATTTGAGGGTGTATTTCATTGGGGTTAACACGTTGTGCTTCAAACTGATGATTTTTTAATTATTATTATTTATTTAATAATTTAACATAGGTGTGTTTATATTTCAACTTGTTTTGGGGAAAGTAGTCATAAATAAATATTGGTTATTATTCAGTCCGATTTTCAGATTAAAGTTTGCTTTTGTTGAACAAATTGAGAAATGTTTGGGGTGTGGGAGGGTCCTGGATTTTTCTCTACCTGTATTAGTCTATCTACTAAAATGTATTACCTCTGTAAGTGAAGTTAACTATAGTACATGTAGTCAAACACATTTAAAAAAAAATCCTGCGCAACTATGTGTACGGTCTTTGTTGTTTTGTCAGAATTTTTAAACTAACTTTGCAGTTGTTGAACTAAATGTGACCAGGGAAGTGAAACTAATTATATAATAAAATATTTAGGGACAGTATAGTTGAAATGAAATAGTTCGTCATCATTGGAGAGTTTTTTAAATCACTGTTATGTCCTTAGCACAGAAATGTTACTCTAGTTAATGTAGGGGTAGTTGGATGTTACTGCATAGTGAAGGAACAGTTGCTCACTCTGCTTGAATTACCCCAAATGCAAATCTTTCCACTACCAGTGTGATAGGTATGGCCTAGTTATCTGACAGGAATGGCTAGCAATTAGTGCAAGCTTTCTGATTATTTCAAGCATCCATGAGGGATTTTCTTAATCAAAGTTGTTACAAATAAAGTAAATATCTTTTAGGCCAAACTCTCACTAAGGGAAGGATTTGAGGTATTTCATTAGGATACTGTGGAGTCCATAGGTGCTTTAAAATGCATTTGCATTGGCACTCGTGTGTGTTACAGTTTACCTTTTGAAAATAAACTAAAATACAAAGCATGTAACTTTGCAAAGTGCTTTCTGCTGGTTTATGTACTTTAGTCCTTGCCAGGCTTTTTTTTCCTCGGAATTTTTCCTTTGGCAGCAGTTTCTAACCTGTTTGAATAACATTGCTTTGTTCACTCTGAAGAGTTTCTCCTGGTTTATAAAATGGGCCGGGGAGGAAATCCTTGTATATTTATATAAATTTGCTGTGTGTAATATATCCACCTAAACCACATTTTTATATCCTCCTCTGAGGTTAAATGAATGGCTTTATTCCGATGGAAATTAGAACAGATGTTTCTTGCTTGGTCCGACTACCTTTTACCTTACTAAAGCAGAAATTCTGCTTTTCTTCCCCCTCCCTTCCCTCTCCCCCCCTCAAAATTTTACCTCAGTCCCTACCACTGCCGCTAGCACTCCTGATGCTGTTGACAAATACTTGGAGACACCTGGAGATGAGAATGAACATGCCCATTTCCAGAAAGCCAAGGAGAGACTTGAAGCTAAGCATCGTGAAAGGATGTCTCAGGTAAGGGGAGATTTCTTTATTCCTAAATGTGGGAATTTTGTCTCTTAAGTCATAAGATGCTTGGGGTCCTTCATCTTCTTATTTCCCAAGGCTTCAGCCAGCTGCCCTGCCTATCTGCAATGTTGTAAATACACCATTTATTGCCTTTCTGACTGTATCTAAGAATTCAGCTGGCTGGGACAGACATTTGTGGTTGGGTCACAGCTGCGATCATAAGTCGCTACGGTTACTTGTGCTGGTAAAAAGGAAAAAAAAGTCTGTTAAAAATTGCTCTCGTCTTTGTGGAGGAACGTTTGGTTTGTGAGAGTATTCTTATTTCTAAATGAAGAACTTGACCCCTGTATTAGTCATCCTTCCTTTGTAGCAGCTGAGGGAGATTGCCTGTGATTAGCTTCGTTCTCCGTGTGTACACATACATGGCCGTGCCTTCGGTTAACATAAGCTTGCATATGTTCATCTAATGGTCTTGAGCCTCAAGGTAACATGAAATGCATCTAAAGCCGAACAAAAGAGGAAAAATCAGTGCTTTTGAACTGAACCAAAATCCAACTGAATCAACCTTTTTTTTTCCTTTAACCAAAAAGATTTTTGTGGCCTGAAACTGTACACTGTTTTTAATCCTATTGCACACTAAGAGATGAGCTATCCATGCTCTCAGAAATAGGGTTTATAATAGCAATGCCAATAAAAAATTGTCACAGTTCTGCTCTGATAACAACAAAGAAAAAATATTAGAGGTTTAAAGGAAAGCCTGTGGTGCATATTTCTTTAGGATGGAACAACCACAAAAATGAACGTAGTATAATCCGGATGCACTGCATGTATCTGTGTAGCTATTTTACTCTAATTTTTCATTGTAACTTTGTTCCCCTGTTGCATTTTCAGTGTTTCTGTGTATTACTGACACATTAACCTTTAGCTCTGTGCTAAAATGTTTGAGTAGGCCTGAAATTTAGCTCTTAGAATTAAGTCCCCATCTACTGGCACTGTAGCTATGCCTGGCACTTTTCTAATAAATAGAGCAGGGCATCCTACCTGAAGCAGTCACTCGATCGGTGCAAACCACATGCCAGGAATATGACACTTAATAGATAGGAAGGTATGTGCTCCTCAGCTGCCTCTGCTTGGGAAGCATTGTAGCACAAACAAGCCATCTCCTTCTTAAATAGAGAAAATAGTCCCAATTTAATGCTTTTTAAAGTGTTGTCATTTCTTTCCTCTGGAAGATTAAACAACTTCATTAAAACGACCAGCGGCCGAGGCAGCCACGGAACGAGCGCTGCTGAGCGTGGGTGCGTGCAGCACCGGGAGGGAGGTGAGCGGCAGCTCGCGAGGCACCTGCGTGCTGCGCTCCCACCGAGGGAGCAGCTCATCCCAGTCCTCTTCGTAACAAACTTCTGTGAGGCTACAGTATTCAGTTTGGGAAGGATGGGCTGGGAATTGGGAGGATAAAAAACGTTGTGCACACAGCCTGCCCGGCGGAGGAGAGAGATCCTGCCCCGGCCAGACACACACAGAGGGTCGGCGGGTAATGCAGTTGTCACCGTGTTACTACTCCCCTTGAAATAGCTGTTTTTTTAAAAAACACTGTAGGGGTGGGTGTCCTGGAAGCGAAGGGCAGTCAGTGCAAAAGGCAGGTTTCCCTGGAACAGTCCTCAGATTCTCACCATGGTTTCAGGTTTGTCTCCAAAATCTAAATATGTAAAGGTTAAGCTGAGTAATTCAGGGCAGCGCTTGGGTGAACTGTGTATTTTGTATTTTCTACAAAGCTGATGGTTTGTGGAAAAGAGCTAATCGAATGCACAGGCACCCAGAAAGCGTTATACAGAGAGACCGACCGTACAACATCAGTGCTTGAGGCCAACAAAATTAACTGGGAAAAGCACTGAAGTGTAGCATCAGAAAACTTCTGGGTAAATATGGTGCACATTTTACCATGTGCATTTTGGGGCAACCTCATAAATGAAGGCTGTGGTTCAAGGGTTTGACTGAAGAAGATCACACTGGTGCTGTGCCTGCTCTGCCCTCGTTAGCACATTCTCAGCCATCCTTTCTGTCAGCACTAATGAGCGTACAGCTGCGGGGTGAGGCAGGTCAGCTCCCTCATCTCACTGCAATGTCGCTCTTCCAAAAAAAAGTAAAATAACCAACTCTGCCCACTTCAGCAGGCTAAATCAGACCTGGGAAACAGCAGCAGGATAGGCACATCAAGAAAGACAGACCTTTGATCTTTAATTTGCTTAAGCTGCTTATGAAATCACAGCTTAAAGTACATATGTCTTGAAGTACACAGAACCCCTGCAGAGCTTTGAAGAAGAGAGTTAACTTAAGTTTCTTAAAATTAGTTTTCCCTTCTATGAGTAATGTTTTGTACAGTATTGAACTGGCCTCTTCCAGTTAACATTTCAAATGTTTAAAAAATATAAGATCTTTTGGAGAAGTAGAAAAGCCAGCTAGTTTACCATTCTGTGTTTTCTCACATGAACTGTGATGTGTCCCTGTCCCATACCACCGGTGTCCTTTTCTAGCAATTTATTTAAAAATCGCTTGTTACATTTTCTTTAAAATGACGTATGTTCTTAATACATATTTAACTAAAAATTAATTTGAAGCTGTTACTTGTTATGTTAAAAACATTGCTGAATAAATTAACTCAGTAAGCTTTTGCTGTCAATTAGCTAAGTCTTCCAGCTGCACCAAACATATTTATTCTTTTTTTTTTTTCCTACTCAAAGTCCAGTTCTTTCGAAGCTGAGAAATGGGGGCTTATAAAGTAGCAGAAATGCCCATTTTTATTCTATTAAAAAGAGAGGAAATGATCAGTGGTTTTAGGAAAATGATCAAGTAATTCTTTAATCTTGATAAATGTCATAATCTGAACTAAATTGGTTTGTTCATGAAATACAGATATTTCTTTTATTTAATAAAGCAGCTAGTTCTAAAACAGTATTTGATTTGATGCACACTTTACAACAGCCAATTAACGAATAAAAAAAAAAATCATATGCATTCTAGTTCACATATAAAATGTAATCATCTCGGAGTAGGGAAGTTTAAAATATTTTGTTTCAATTCAATTTTTAAAATTATAATCAAAACGTGTCATCAGGGCAAATGCAGATATTCTGTATATTCTCTTTCCGAGATTTCCCTTTGTTTACCGTGAAATTCTGACAACTCATGTTTCTTTTTCTCTTGCATAAAGATATTCACACAGGCAGAGACCCAGCTTCTGTTGGTGGTTGTGTCGGTTCATAGTTCACAGCTCCTAAAAGACTCTCTTACTAGGGGAGTCTGTGCTCTTTAGTACGATAACCTGATGCACCTCTGGTTCAGACTTGTTTAATCCCTTCTGCTCTTAAGGGTCTGTCCCTTTAGACTACAGACCATGAAAGTTTTTCTGCCTTTACATCTTGCCGGGCACCTGGAGCAACAAGGCTTATAAACTTTCCTAGACACTACTGTAAAGAGAATTACATTAGCATACAATTTTAAGCTTTTTCCTAGAATTATTGATGCAATTCCAAATAACAGTAAAGCTACATTCCCATGCAAATAAGATAGCTATTCAGCGATGCACACGTAACCTTTAAATGTTTGCTATTCTCTGACATGTAACAGGGAGAGATGATGCTAACTGATTGCAGGATGCTGTGGTTCTTGTTTCCTGTTTTGGTACAATTCCCCTTTTCCTCTTTCTCTTTCCGGTTTGTTAACTCCTGTACAGCTCCCTCACTTAAATAGCTGCTGCTAAATAGTCTGGTGGAACCAGATATTGAACCTTACTCAAGGGAACAGTGTATTTATACATTTCTCTCCTCAAACATCTTGTGACAATCTCGTGTCTTAAATTTACTCTTCCTCTGGCTGTTTACAATATTTTAGGAATGATAGCATGAACAATACTTCGGATAGGAACTTATGATACCTTGTCTCCTAGAATAGCCTTGCTTCTTGGAAGTTCATTTCCAAAGCAAGCATCTGAAAATGCTGCAGTCCTCAACCAGCCTGAACAGGGCTGGTGTTATGTTCAAGATTTTTTTTGGATTATTGCATGCCACTAGTTCCAACATCTTGAAAAGGCCTTCAGCAGATTTTTAGTGCCAGTGGCACCATAAATGGTTTGGGTTGGAAGGGACCTCCAAAGATCGTCTAGTTCCAACCCCCCTGCCATGGGCAGGGACACCTTCCACTAGATCAGGTTGCTCAAAGCCCCATCCAACCTGGCCTTGAACGCTTCCAGGGAGGGGGCATCCACAACTTCTCTGGGCGACCTGTTCCAGTGTCTCACCACCGTCACAGTAAAGGGTTTCTTCCTAATATCTAATCTAAATCTACCCACTTTCAGTTTAAAACCGTTACCCCTCATCCTATCACTAGACTGATAAAGAGTCCCTCCCCATCTTTCCTGTAGGCCCCCTTTAAGTACAGGTAGGCCACAATAAGGTCTCCCTGGAGCCTTCTCTTCCCTAGACTAAACAACCCCAACTCTCTCAGCCTGGCCTCATATGGGAGGTGCTCCAGCCCCCTTATAATCTTCATGGCCCTCCTCTGGACCTGCTCGAGCAGGTGCATGTCTTTCTTATCCTGGGTGCCCTGGAGCCGGACACAGTACTCCAGGTGGGGTCTCACCAGAGCAGAGTAGAGGGGCAGAATCACCGCCCTCGACCTGCTGGCCACACTTCTTTTGATGCAGCCCAGGACACGGTTGGCTTTCTGGGCTGCGAGCACACATTGCTGGCTCATGTCCAATCTAAATCTACCCACTTTCAGTTTAAAACCGTTACCCCTCATCCTATCACTAGACTGATAAAGAGTCCCTCCCCATCTTTCCTGTAGGCCCCCTTTAAGTACAGGTAGGCCACAATAAGGTCTCCCTGGAGCCTTCTCTTCCCTAGACTAAACAACCCCAACTCTCTCAGCCTGGCCTCATATGGGAGGTGCTCCAGCCCCCTTATAATCTTCATGGCCCTCCTCTGGACCTGCTCGAGCAGGTGCATGTCTTTCTTATCCTGGGTGCCCTGGAGCCGGACACAGTACTCCAGGTGGGGTCTCACCAGAGCAGAGTAGAGGGGCAGAATCACCGCCCTCGACCTGCTGGCCACACTTCTTTTGATGCAGCCCAGGATACGGTTGGCTTTCTGGGCTGCAAGCACACATTGCTGGCTCATGTCCAGCTTTTTGTCCACCAGTACCTCCAAGTCCTTCTCCACAGGGCTGCTCTCAATCCACTCATTGCCCAGGCTGTATCGATGTTTGGGATTGCCCCAACCCAGCTGCAGGAGCTTACACTTGGCCTAGTTGAACTTCGTGAGGTTCACACAGGCCTGCCAGGTCCCTCTGGATGGCATCCCTTCCCCCAGAAGAGTATCAACCACATCACTCTGCTTGGTGTCTTCTGCAAACTTGCTGAGGGTGCATACAGTCCCACTGTCCATGTCCCCGACAAAGATGTTAAATAGTACTGGTACCTATAATCCCTAGATCCCACCATCTCTATTATTGTGTTGGGAGGGCTCTTTCCTTCCTTAAAACTGACTGTCAGCTTAGTAGGAGTACCCCCCTCAGTTACACTTAGGGCTCTTTGGAGAGGTTTAATCACGTTATTACCAGAAAAAGGGTCAAGACTTAAGTGTGGAACAAAAGCCCTTGACAAAGGTATTGGCATGACTTTGACCTGCTAAGTAAGCAAACGTTTAGGCAAGCACCTCTGCTGGTCTGATTGCTGTAACCCAAACATCTGTCATAAATTCTTCTCTTGCAGATATGCTTCTGTGCCCCAGTGTAAAAAATGGGAGTAAATTCTGCTGTTTTCAATATAATGAGATTTTTGTGTTTAGCATCTCTCTTAATAATGAATGATGCTTTCCGTACTGCCTTTTTCCCTCTTGCTGTCCCCTACAGCCCAATTTCAAAAGGAGTCTGGCAGGCACTAAGTCCTGAGTTCTGAAGCAGTTTGACTTTGAAATGGCTTGCTTCTTAAATCTGCCTGCACAAAGCCACCAAGCCTTGAAGAGCCATAAATCTGTGTGGCTTTGATAGGTCTGTGCTGTCAATGAAGGAGAATAGGTTTATAAGTGCAGAGAGGCCAAGTTCAGCCTTTTTCTGCACATGCGTATCTGGGAATTTCTTTTTTCCCTTTCTTGCTCTTTGGTTTCCTACAGAGTGCTACAGCATATTTCTTAGTCACTCATAATTCTCTAAAGCGATGACCTTCGGTGAGAGCAGAAGTTTCCTCTGGGTGGTAGCATGACTGCCCATAGATAGCTGTAGGGCAGCTGTATCTTCAGTTAGTTAGCATACACAGAGATATGCTTTCAACCATTGAAGTCTTCTCAATTGCAAAAATCAGCACTCAAAGCACAGCTTCTGCAATCTTTACATTGAATATTGTTTCTGCAAACAGCCATGTCATTCTGTATTTTCTTCACAAGCCATTCACTCTTGTTGCACCAGGGCTGAACTCTGAAGCCTGTAATTTACATCCCTCCCAACTAGCTGTGTAGGCTGTCAGTTTATCATCCTGCCTTCCATGCCTTAAAAGGTTCAGAGAAATAAAACAGGCAGAGACCTGGTCTAGCCAAAGGTCTCCTTATCCCATTACCCATGATATTTGTTTTCATCATGTGGATTAGCAGAGGGTTAGTTTGGGGGATAAAGATGGCAAGGGAACAGTTGTTCTGAAAACCCATCAACTGCTAATTCAGGGTGAAAAAGAGTATTAAGCAGGTGTCAGAGATGTGATCTGAAGACATGAGAAGAGGGAGAAGAAAATCATAAAGTTGCTGACCTAGGCCAGTGCTCAAGCTTGAGCGCATCATTGTGGTTTATGACTTGAATTAATGCCATAATTTCTGGGTCTTCTGTAACATTCGCATCCTGGCACCAGTGACATTTCAGACCTCTAGAAAGGTGCTGCCTGTATACATGAATTAAGTTTTCTTGGCCACCACAATCATATGGCCTAAGCATACAATTAAGAGATAAATACCTGTGTGCACTTAATACACAGCAGCACTATGAGCATTAATAAGTTTGTTCCAGAACACATCACAGTGTTGGTGCATGTCCTCTAGTCCTGCTTTGTCAGAGAAGCAGTAAAATCTCCTATGCCAAAGTACTGGGAAGATAACTGGTAGGGGGGCGATCTGTAACTTCAGTGCGTTGTGCATCATGTTCACTGTTGTCAGCTGCTTACTACAACCCCTTGCAAATTAATTTTCATGTCTCCTTGTAAATTTTGGTTTCCTACCTCCCTGGAGCTTGGCTGCAATTTGCACATGAATGCGCATTTGTCTGATGAGAAGATAATGTAAATTGAAGTACTCTTAGGCTGCCAGTTTATGTAGGTTGTAGTACAATTCTTGGGCCTTAAGTTTCAGCTTACAGTTCTTAGTAAAAGAGCGGAGTGAAGATAAGACTGTGATTTCTAAGTACTTAACTTCAGGTCTTCGTGCTTACAACTGCTGTCTAACCATGCCCAAGCAGACAAAACAATTTTCTACTTTAAAGTTTTCAGTACAACATTAGCTTCCCAAAATTTATGTCTCCACTCTCTTGGGCTGTTATTGAGGCCAGAATCTCTTATAGATAAATAATTTCACTGATAGTGAGTTGATCTGTTTTTACTGTGACTGATTTATTGCTATCTTGAAATACGTTCCCAGGCTTTGGGTCAAAAGGAAGATGAAAACTTGACAACAAAATCCCATACGTTGCGTCAGTCTTGAGTGCAGGTGTCTGCATGCTGGTTAATTGTTAGGGTCTACAACCCTATATAGGACTGAGAAGGTATTACATTTCAAGGACTGGAACTTGTAAAATTCTCCTTTGAGCCCAGGTTTGTTTGGGTTTTGTTTTTTAAAAAGCACAGGCTCAACCAGATACCCTGAGGCACCACCAGTGCTCTCCAGTCTGTCCATCAAGGAGCCTCATTAGCAATGTCCAGCATGTGGGAAAGCTGGGGAGCCTGAGACAGGATCCGAGTGGAGGAGGCTCAACTTGGAGACATGAGGCACGCAGGTCTAATTTATCCTGCCTTTGGTATTGGTCTTGGTAAAATTTCAGTCATGCAGAGTCCACAAGACTCAGCTTTTCTAAAATCCCCTTTAGAAAGGGTATGTTTGGCTATTTCTATTAAATATAATGAAAGCGTGAAGTGTGTTTTTTGGTGAGAAAGGAAGGAAAGGAAATGCACATTTTGAGTAACTGCTTCTAGGTTTCTTCTGTCTTCTTCTGACATTGTGCCCAATCCTGCAAATAAACAGGTCACTTATTTATGTGCACTGCATTCGGTGAGAGCAATTGTTCCTGCATAAAATGTGTTATCTGAGGAGATTGCTGTTTAGGTGCGAAATGAGTGAAGTCCCCAAGTAAGGCCATGAGAAGGTTGCAGATGTCATGGGCAGCAAGTTAAGAGTAACTGATTCCCTAACTATTGAAATACTGCCTTGTGTTACAGGAGGTGGCGGCCTTTCATGTTGCTGAAGGGAACGGTATTGAAAGTTCTCCTACGTCATTTTTCTGTCAGTGTTGTGCTTGAGATATAAATATATTGAGTTCTTGAAGTGTTGCACACCTACGTCTGGACAGACTAGCACAAATTGCGTGTAATTCTTGATCTGTCCTACTCAAAGGCCAGCGATGTAGTGCGAATAAATCTAAAAATTTTTGTGGTACCAAAAAAAGTGTCAATTAGAACAAGTTGAAATTCACTCATTTGGATGGAACAATAGAATGGAAGCAGTTTCCTTTCTGTCTGAGATGAAAAGGAGTTGGTGTGTTCACCCATAGAGACCTCCACTTCCCTCGCTTGAGGGCTGGTTAACGGCTGTGTTGCTTCACAGCGGAGTTGTGAGAGCTTGGCACGATGTTCAGACAGAGAAGTACTGTCTTTGTTTAATTTAATAATAGGATCCTACCTTTGTTAAATGTTGTAACCTCTTTTTTTAATAGAGATAAAAGGAGGAGAGGAATATAAAAAGATGACTGTCGGAGCTGCAGTGCTTGGCTGTTGCTAAGCCCTGAGACAAGAGAGGAAAATACGAAAGTCATGCTCCTTGTTTTGTTCGTTAGGTCATGAGAGAGTGGGAAGAGGCAGAACGCCAAGCAAAGAACTTGCCAAAGGCCGACAAGAAAGCTGTTATCCAGGTAGAGGAAAACGCAACCACAACCTTACCCACTGGGGCCACAGTTAAAATACAAGGGGTGCTGGGTGTGATATAATTTTAAAATCTACTTCTATGGGGATTTAATATTATTTTCTGCTCTTGCTGTTGCTATTTTTGTTTCCAGCTGTTAGTGGCTGCTGGGTATCTCTGTACTTTGTAGCCAATCCGTGGAAGAGCAGTGCAGGACATCGCTCATGACTGCGTGGAGGGGTAGAATTCCGCTTGAATTGATTTGCCTTCAGTGAGAACTGAAAACTCGGTTCCCACGGGCCCCTTTCAAAATTTAGGCCGTGATAAACTAATATAAGCTGCAGGACCTAAACTAAAAGTAGAGATGGAAAATGTGATTTAAGGAGGAAATCGCCATCAGTTTTATCTGAAAAAAACCCTCAGCCAAAAATTACTTTATCCAAAATTATACTGTAATTCAAAAATTCTGACAAGCCAGACACTGGCTTGAATCCCGCTGTAGCTATGTCAGGTATTATTCAGTACTGCTAGAATGATTTCACTGCAAAACTATAAAAAGGTAATGTTCAGAACCAGATTGCATCACACATTAGATCCAACAACTTTGCTCTCTGTGCATTTTAGCCAGTCAATCTTTTCCTTTATTGAAGTAAGTAGATTTGCTCATGAAGTCATGTTGATGTGAGGGCAGGGGGCGTATGCTTGCCAAACTCCACCCTCCTCTAGGCACAATTCTCTAGCGCTGAACCACTGTCTCAGGGGGCAAATGAAGGATTCACTGGTGGTTGTGCTGAACATGTCAGGAATATTTGATTAGGTTAATAAAATATGGCCAGGTGTTCAGGAATACAGGGCATCAGTAGTTCCCACTGAAATCAGTAGAAGATGTGTTCAGTGCAGAGTTCCTGGGAGCCAAGCTAGACTGACATGGGGAAAGATTTTGGTGATTTGCAGATGGAGGTGTTCATGTCCACTGGTCTCTGCTGATGTCTTCACTGTTCCTGTTGTGATGGATGTTTTTTTCAGCATTTCCAGGAGAAAGTGGAATCACTAGAACAAGAAGCAGCAAATGAAAGACAACAGCTGGTGGAGACTCACATGGCACGGGTGGAAGCCATGCTGAATGACCGTCGCCGCATCGCTCTGGAGAACTATATCACAGCCCTGCAGACTGTCCCACCCCGGGTAAGTGCAATACCACAAGCTCTGTCAGCTGTGTCAAAATCACTATAGTCGTCCTGGGGAAAAAGAAAGTGTGCCCAGGTGAAGTCCAGCTGTGGAGCAGTGAGTGTGTGTTCCCCGTGCAAGAGCAACTACAGCAGTCAGCTAGTTAGAAAGCTGAAAGTTCAGACTTTGTGTGTACATAAATGTAGGCACAAGCACACACCCCCCGTACATACCTATAGATAGATAGGTACATACATAAAGATTCTTAAGCAAATAACATGGAAGTGATTTGGTTGTCAGAAACTGCAGCCATTCACAGATCCTGCAGAAGGATGATGAAGCGTCCCTCCAAGTGATGCACAGTAGGATACTTCATCATGTCAAGATGGATCTTAAGGATGAGGGTGCTTGTGATTTTCTGTTTTGTTTGTTGAACTGTTGAAATGTTTGGTGAAGGATCTTGTGAGGATTGTTGGATGGCATGAAGATAGCACACTAGCAATTCAAAGTTGTCTGTGTTGAGTGTGATGGCTATTCTGAACTTAGTGTTTGCACTAAGTTCAGAATGTGGATTGAATGGAATTTTTAATTACTCCGTATCTGTGATGTTTGTATTCAATACCAAAATAACTGATCTGTGACCTCCAGAAGAAGAGAATCGGCACGAGCACTGTGGGAAAACTCAAATGTTTTATATACCTCTCGCCTCTTGAACACTTCCTAGATGGAAAAAACATTATGTTACTAAAAGACTTTTGGGTCAGCAATATAAGATGTAGCCATTAGATCCTGAATTTGGCCTCACAGGGAATTACATCAATACAGCTAACCTGGTAAAATTACATGTTTTAAGTGGATTTCCTTCTGCAGAGAAACCTGCATATTCAGTGAGCATGGAAAAGTGATCATCGTCTTAGTTCTTTATCGTCGTCAAACTTTTTTCTCCACCCCATGGTGCAAAACTCTCTTGTTTTTACTGTGTGCCAAGTAAAAGAAAAATCTTTTACTTAGGTAAAAGTGTCATGGGGAGACTTCAGAGTAGTTGTATGAAGAGTTAATTTGTATTTTGCAACATAGTAATTTGTGGAAAATGAAGCTAGTCTGTATTAAATTGGTAGAGGATGTTGTTTGGTCTGAGTGCGAGATGCATATTGTAGCCTCTGACTGTTGTGAGGGTAGTGAAGGCCTTGGTCTCGAGTGTCTCATTAGCAGACAGATTAGTGAGTTACAGGCTGGGATGCAGCTTCCTTGAGGAAACTGGAGTCTGCAGCTCAGAACTGAGTGTGAGATGAGGTGAGTGCATAGACTGGCTGCAGGTCGTGTTTGCTCTCTTGCGGTGTGGTTTTGGGTAGTTCACCTACGATATGATTTCACGTTTGGCTTTAGCCAATCAGCTGTTGCTGTAAAGTTGAGCCTCGTGTAAATGTAATCCTGTCTGAAAAGTATCCCAGAAAAATGATTTGATTTCAAGTTGTGTGTGGATCAGGCTGACAGCTTGGTTCTGCAGGTATCTGAGGTTGTGGGGACCACACGTAACAGCAGAATGGTCTCTAGAGCTGGCAAAATGTGCAACTTCATTCCTAGCACAAGGGAACTCAACCTTTCATGTTTGTGGAACGCAGATGACATCTCCACTGCAAAAAAAAAAGTGAACTTCAGCTGCAGATCACTAAGGGGCAAAAATGTAAGAACACTGTTTGATACATGACTCCAGCAGAAGTAAGTTTTGAAGGTACTGTTAAAAGACTGAGGTGCATCCTATATTGTGTCCTACAAAAGCTAATCATTCTGGAAGGAGCAGGCAGCAAGCATGACCTAACATCAGCTGAAGGTCCTACCAAATGGGGACTTGTCTCAAAACTAATGGGGGTGAACAGTTTAAAGAATAATGTCTTTAAACAGTTCCTTTGCCAGTCTTGTTGCTGGTACTGTCGTTGCCTCAGCATTTTTTGGTTGTGTGCTCTGTAGTTACTGGCAGTTCAGGCATGTACCTCTGAACTGCTGGTCAGATGTGTGCCAAAGCACGTGAAAAAACTGACCTTAAATTCAGCAATTTTATTGTGGGGCAGAGGGTGAAAACTGAGGAGTGATTGATGATAGCTGAACGGCCTAATGAATGAATCCAGTCCGCTAACTGCTTTGCAGGATATGGAGCCAGAAATCTGAATACACTGTGAATCCAAACTTTGGCTGCCTAGCCAAAGAGAAAATGGGATCAATGGAAAATTCAACTCTGATACCCTAGCTGTATTTCTCTCTGGCGGTTCCCTAGTAAACTATACGTACATTTGATTAAATTGTGTTGTCTTTGGGAGAGTAAGTCATAACCTTACTCGTGACTTGTTAAGTAATCTTACAAAAGGGAGGCTTTTCTGGAGTTCTCCAAAAATATTTTTAAGAACCCCCTTCTGCAGCCTGCTTCAAATTATGTGGTTTGCTATTGGTATGTTTACTACAAAAGTAGGTTCTGAATATTTAAAGTGATGGAGTCTCTTTCTTTAAAGTTATAAGGACAGAATTTGGGATCAAATTGAAAAATTAAGTTAGGCTTTTTTATTGAAGTGCATGTCTTCTGCATGCAGCTGGGAAGGTTACCGTAAGTCTGGTGTGTATATATAATGTATATAGATGTGTGTGTGCAAAAAGTATTTTCCATGTGCTGTTTAATCACTTGGACATACTGCCTTGTACTTGAACTTGAACATTTCCCAAGATTTTTTTGGACTTCTGGCAGACCACTTGAAGCAGCAGGATTTCATTTTGGTTTTGGATGTCTAGAAATCCATGACCAGTCTTTGCCTGCAGATCAGTTATCATAGGAAGACAGTGGGTCTGACACTCCCAGTGCCACTGATCCTGGATGTGGTGCACGGCTCTCCATGAGTGATGAAATCCTGATCCACTGGGAAGTTTTGTTTTCTGTATGCATACAGATTATGTGGTTCTTGTTCAAGGGGTAGCCTCTTCAGGGGAGATGAAGAGAAACTTCCTCTGGCTTGGAAAGTCCTTGAACTGTGGACAGGGGGAAGCTGGAAGGCTATGTGAGAAGTATTATCATTTACTTGCTCCTTTGGAGGAGGCTTTCCTTGTAGGATAGCAAAATATGGCACTAGGGGAACCTTGGTCTGGGCCGGTAGTAGAGTCATTACGTTCTTACACGTACCTAGAAAATCAGTAGTTTTCAGTGCCATTCTACCTAAAACTGCAAAATTCTGGGAATCCTTTATGAATAGCTTCTGTATGAGACCAAAAACTTTAACTGCAGTTTTTTTCAGGTGTTATGCAGACGATTGCCCAATGCCAGTGTCAGAGGAGTGCTTCAGGGTACCACTCTGGGCAGCAAGGGAGCCAGGGATCGTATAGAGATGAAATTGTATAGCTTCAAGGTCTACTAGAAAACAAATTCGAGCAAAACCAAATATTTTTACTGTTGTGCTGTTCTCAGAAGCATTGTCATGCAGGCTGCCCAGAAACTTAAAATTTGATCCTCATCCCTGATCCCTGGTGCAGCTTAGCTGTGCTGCTACACTTTGTTGCCTTTGAAAATGGGGTGCAGCTGTTCAGTATCCAGTGTCAAAATACTGTATTGTTTCATCCTGCTTGATGGCCTTACTACAGAAAAGGAGGATTAGTGGCAGCTGGAACCAATATGCCTCTAGTTTTTAAAACAGTTGGAAATTTTCCCCTTCATTTTGCAAGTTAAATAGAGGAATTCAAATCCATCATTCTCTGTGAGCAGGTTGATTCTATAATTTGTTTATATTCCCTCTTTCACGTGCATGTCAAATTTTGCTGGATTTATGTCTCCCTGTTTAAGAGATGCACATTCTCTGTGGGAAGCCGGTGGCAGGGGGCAAAGAGAAGCAGAAAAGAAATCCAGCTCCTAGTGGTGAAATAAAGGGTTTCAGAGCAAGGAAACATACAGGAAAACTTTGAAAGGTAATTAATTAACCTCCTTACTTTGCACACAGAGTAAAGTGAGCATGTAATGATTGAAATCAGTTTAAATTGCTTCTCTTCCAATTCAGCACTATTTTACTGAAATGTAAATTATGGCCAAACAGAGCAGGATCATTAGGATCAACCCTAGCGAGTACCTTAACCCATTTGTATTTTTTTTCTGTGTTTTTTTCTTGTTGCCTTCAGAATTTGCTCTGGTACCTTTTGTGCTATGGGAGCAGTGTCTGTTCGTACAGAGAGAGCACAGTGTGGGCTGAAACTAGTTGAGTCTGGCTATTTGGACGTGGAAGAGGTATCTGCAGAGGGGGCCTTACTCAGTGCCTCTGTGTTCGGGAAGCTCGAAGCCTTTCCTGAGTCCAGCGAGGTTGCTGTGGAAATACGCAGTTGGAGGCAGGCCAAAGCGTCACTGCTGATCTAATGATAAAAATCCTCCTGTGCAGTAGGAAAGAGCAGTCTAGCTCTAATACTCCACCCTTTAGCTGCGCTCCTCTAAACCCATAAACTTACAGCTGTGGAATTTCTCACATACGCTTAATTTGGTCAAATTTTCTGAAATAGCATGGATTTCAGCTCTGCTTTTAAACCAGGTCAGACTTCGAGAAATGTGGTCACCTAACTCCATTTTCCAGCAGCTTATGAGGCTTTTATGTGAATAAAACCAGACTGTCTTGTTTTTTGCTGTCTGTGCGCTTGAGCGTATGGTATAGTCATGCACCTAGGCTTGCCAGTAGTTTTTTTGTACGAGTGAACTAAAGACAGAAGAGGCAATTCCAGATGGGTATTAAGTTCTGCAAAACCATGGCAGGTTCATTATATCTAAAATGCAAAGTTTTAAAAGAGTGAGCAGAAACAAAATTTGTCTTAATTTGTCAAACTTGAGTGAGTTCAAATCCTGAAAGGCAAATAATGAGATTGAATCAAATACTGTTTTCATTTTAGTCTGCCCCAGGAAAAGTCCTTCAGAGGGTAGGCAAAGGGAAGTTTTGAGTACCACTGTAGCCATGTACTTGAGATGTGTGGGGCAACATGTTTTCTTATAAATTAGCAGGAATTATGAG